GTGCCCCCCCCCCCCCCGTTTGGGGACTGCTTTCTTTAACTGGTCAAGGTCACTTTCAGTTTTGTTCTGCCTTTTGAGCCCTTGGCCACCCTACCCAGCTTAGCGTCAGCGGCAGGCTGGATGAACACCTTCTCAGTGCCATTTCCTGGGTCACTGGTAACCACATTAGATAGGCCGGGGCCCACCCCACCCAGCACCTGCCTGAACCTGACCTTGCCGGGTGACAGGCTGCTTTTGTCTCTCCTCCTTCCCCCTGTCTAGGTCCTTCATCGAGATCTCCAACAACTGCCTGTCCAAGGCCCAGCTGGCTGAGGTGGTGGAGTCCATGTTCCGGGAGTCGGGCTTCCAGGACAAGCAGGAGCTGACGTGGGAGGACTTCCACTTCATGCTGCGGGACCACAACAACGAGCTCCGCTGCACCCAGCTCTGCGTCAAGGGTGGAGGTGGAGGTGTGTGAGTTTGGAAGGCGTCAGGAATGGGCGTGTCTTCAAAATGAGAGTTCCTGGTGCATAGCACTCAGGTCTTATTTCTCTTGTAGTCCTTGGTGCCTAGTAGAGAGCCAGGCACATGTAATCAAGGGCATCACATACACCTGTGCAATTTATGCACAAAGATACCCACTGAGGGGTCAGGGCAGGCTGAAGTCCAGCCTACATTCTACACACCAACCATGTGCATTGGTCTGGGCTGTGTCTGGCCAGAGGAAGAGGCCCTATTTTCTCTACACAAAGGACCTGCAGGGTTGCATCCGCCTGGAGGGGGGCCCCTTTTCTAATTGCACTCAGTTGCCACATTGTCTAGCAGTGGCTGCCGCCCTGTGTACAGTGGGTGCTCGGTGTGGGCAGTGAGGGGAGCATGGCTGGGGAAAGAGATGGGGACGTGACCAAGTCACTGGCAAGTGCCACGGCAGCCTTCCTAGGACAGTCTCCTCCCTCGTGGGGAAGCCCGTCCAGCTTCTTGTTCTCCCCAGGTATCGGAGACATTCTTAAACCAAACGTCAGCTGTCGAGTGTCATTCATCACTCGGACTTCTGGGGAACGGTGAGTGGGAATGGGGCACTGGGAGGTGCCCCGGCTGGGTCCCCTGCAGAGAAATGAAGGAGTAGGGCTGGTGGAATCAGCCCCTGGGCCAGACATTTGCTCTGAAAGTAGCTTTCAGCGCACAGTTCTTCTAGCCCAAGTTCCAGCTGCCTCACACACATACCCCTTACTGCTCAGGAGTCTGGCTCTCTCCCTGGCCCTCCAGGACAGAATCATTCTACAGAACATATGACCAGATCATGTTCATTCCTTCTGTCTTGCCTTCTGCCTGGCTTCTTTCTGACCGCTTTTATGGGCAGGTTCTGTGGACAGGAATGAGTCCCAGGATCTATCCCCTCCCACACCAGCCCCAACTCTGACTTGGCAGTTCTTCTCCTGGCTGCAAAGACAAGGGGAGAATGAAACCCATTTTTCTCTTCTCAGTTCTTGCCCTCAGGGAGTGGGGCTCCCTGTCTCAGAAGCCCCAGAGTTGGGAGGCCCTGGCTTGAAGAAGAGGTTTGGCAAAAAGTAAGTGTTTCCCAGACCCTTGACCCAAGGAGACATGGGGAGAAGTCTCAGGGTGTCTGGTCTGCCCACACCCCCACACACAAGGAACCATCCTGAGACTCATTCCAGCTGTCCCTGACCGGATTGGCAGACTATTGAGTTAATGACTCTTCAACCTCTTCCAACCTCTGCACCCTAATCTTCAGGCAAGGGGCCTGGCACTCAGATTCAACACCAGGCAGTGAGGGGTCTCCTGGCTCCTGCCTGCTTTTGGGCACAGCAGTGAGACCTGTGCAGGGAGCAGGAAGAAGGAAGCACAGAACAGAGAGGAGGAAGTGGAGACGGAGTCGTGGGGAGGTGGAGGAGTGAGTGGAGAGGGCAAATAAAGGCTTGGCAGAGTGGGATTCTACCCCCCAAAAGCTTTTTCTTTCATCTGTTGTGGCCCATCCTGGCCGCTACCAGATCACCAGGTCTCCTTCATAGGGTGGCATTTAGGGGAGGACAGGGTGCCGTGACCTCGGGCCACCTGCCTCCCATTGTTGCAGGGCAGGGGTGCCCCCTCCCCGGCTATACACAGAGGCGCTGCAGGAGAGGATGCAGAGGGGCTTCCTGGCCCAGAAGCTGCAGCAGTACAAGCGCTTCGTGGAGAACTACCGGCGGCACATCGTGGTCGTGGCAGTCTTCTCAGCCATCTGTGCCGGACTGTTTGTGGAGCGTGCTTACTGTAAGGAGAGTTCCAGGTTGTGGGCAGTGGGAGGGGAGATGTGAGAGCCTTCTGGTTGTTATTCTTGATCCTCAGGCGTCTGGATAGGGGAGCCCAGCTGTTCTGACTGGGGCCCAGGCCTCTGTACTGTGCTGATCCACCCCCACTGTGCCCCCAGACTATGGCTTTGCCTCGCCACCCTCGGGCATTGCAGAGACCACCCTCGTGGGCATCATCCTGTCGCGGGGCACGGCGGCCAGTGTCTCCTTCATGTTCTCCTACATCCTGCTCACCATGTGCCGCAACCTCATCACCTTCCTGCGAGAGACCTTCCTCAACCGCTACGTGCCCTTCGATGCCGCCGTGGACTTCCATCGCTGGATCGCCATGGCTGCTGTCGTCCTGGCCAGTATGTGGCTCCCGGGCACGCTCTCCACTGCTGCAGTCCCCTGGGTCGAGCTGTGGGGGAGGCAGTGGGGAGACTGGAGCTACTTATACTTCCTGCTCTCCTCGGGGCTGGAGGTAGAGTTGGCCCTGGAGGTGTCTCTAACAGGATGTGTCTCTTTCAGTTTTGCACAGTGCTGGCCACGTGGTGAATGTCTACATCTTCTCAGTCAGCCCCCTCAGCCTGCTGGCCTGCATCTTCCCCAGCGTCTTTGTGAATGATGGGTCAGTTTTGGGGAGGGTCCCCCTTGGGAGTCCTGGGGCAGGCCTCAGAGTACAACAGAAAAGAGGTAGATGGCCCTAGACCCTCCACTCTCTCACTAAGTGAGGGCGAGAAGCTAGCATCCTTGGGGAAGCTGAGAGATGACTTCCTTGCCCTCAGGACGGAAGCAGGCCGTAATTGGCCAGGAAAGGAGTTTGGGAGATGAAGTTGGAGCCTCTTTCTCACATGTACCTGACACATAGCTTGCTATCTCAGCCTACTGTCCATTCACTGGGCAAATATTTGTGGAATACATCCTGTGTGTCCATCCAGGAGCCAAAGAGTAGGGATGCCAAGATACATGCAGTCGTTCAACAAATATTTATTGAGCATTTACTCTGTGCTGGGCATTGTTTGAGCACAGGGATAGAGCATGGAGGTAAGCTCCCTGCCCTCATGGAGCTTACAGAATATGAACCAAGCACTTCAAGGAAGCAAAGGTCAGCTGCAGTAGGAGAATTCAAGATAACACAGGAGGAAGAATTGCTTTGAGATCAGAGGGTGGAACTGCAGGAGGCTGGGTGCCATGTTCTTTGGAAGGACCTTTGGCCATCTGGGTTGAGGCCCAGTGACCTCCGCATTCAAGGCCATCAGGAACAGAGTCACATTGCAACAGTGGTGGAGCCCCTCCTGCTCCAGCCTGAGGCTCTGGGTGTCTTTGTCCTACAGGTCCAAGCTTCCCCAGAAGTTCTACTGGTGGTTCTTCCAGACAGTCCCAGGTAAAGAGTAGACTGTATGTGGAGTCTGGGGTTTCTGTCTGAGGACTTCTGCTTTTGTCCTCCCTCATCTTCCCATGAATACACACTTGTCTATAGTGGTCATAGCATCCCTTTGCAGCCTCCAGCACAAGCCTCAGCTCCAGCTTCTTTGGGCAAGCTCTTCTGGGAGCCAGGGAGGGATGAGAGAGGTCAGGGAAGAAGAGTGGAATGGGGAAATGCCCTCTGGCATTCTCAGCCCAGGCTGAGGTCCCGAGGCCAGGGGCTCTCTGACCCTGTCCCCGCTGCCCCCAGGTATGACAGGGGTGCTCCTGCTCCTGGTTCTCGCCATCATGTACGTCTTCGCCTCCCACCACTTCCGGCGCCGCAGCTTCCGGGGCTTCTGGCTGACCCACCACCTCTACATCCTGCTCTATGTGCTGGTGAGGGACTTCTCTGGGCAGGGCCAGGCCACAAGGCAGAGATGAGCACTCATGATGTGGGGAGGGAGCAGGGTGAATTGGACGCGAGATCTCAGACCGAGACCCCGAGATCCGAGACCACAGTCTATGGAGCCTATGCCAGCCCCATCTACCCTGCCCAGGCCCAAGGCCCAGGGCCTAGGCAGGAAGTATCTGGGTAGGGTGAGTGCAGGAAGGGGGCCAGCTGGGCCTGAGCTACACTAACTGGCCATGTCTCCAGCTCATCATTCATGGCAGCTTCGCTCTGATCCAACTGCCTCGTTTCCACATCTACTTCCTGGTGCCAGCACTTATCTATGTGGGGGACAAGCTGGTGAGCCTGAGCCGGAAGAAGGTGGAGATAGGCGTGGTGAAAGCAGAACTGCTGCCTTCAGGTACCAGGCCTGGCCTGACCCTCGGTGGGGAGCATTGGAGGTCAACTCATGGGACGTGGGAAGACAGCTCCCCAGGCCTCCTCATCCCATTGCTGCCTCTGTTAGCCTCTCAGGCACCCCTGCAGCTTTCCTGATGGAACTACAGCCCCCAAAAGAGCTGTGCTTAGTTCCCAGGAGGACTTACAGACAGTGAGAAGTGACTATGAGAAGAGGAGGCTGAAAGTGCATTCAGAGGGGTTTAAGGACAAGAAAGACCCGCGCTCGTGTGGCCTGGGCGCAGGGTGGGGAACCATACATCCCTCTCCCATTCCTTCACTCAGAATAACCTCTCTTCAGAGACAGATAAATGGCCCAGACTGCAAGAGTCTGTTGTTGAGAGTCAGTGTTGGCCAGAGTGGGGATTCACATCAATGTAAAGGGTGGTGAAAGATGACTTAAGTGACAAGGGGCCAGCTAACCTTCAGGACTCACATAGTAAGAAAATTAACCTCACTTCAACTGTATTTCAATCAAGATTATTTAAGAACAAAGTCTCAGCATGGTATTAGCCTGCCTTCTGCATCCTCCAGTCCTTGCGAATCTCCTTTTTCCACAAAGAGAGAACAAGCCTGAGGCTCAGCTATGGTCAGGCAGCAAACAGTATCCAGCTAAAATTTGATAAAACATAGTACCTTCTGTTTAGACCACATGATACTTAGGCAAGGCAATGTAGGGTATTGGTTAAGAGCTTGGCCTCTGGAGCTAGATAGAGCACATGATGCTGGTTTTCTACTCACCTTAGTGACCTAAATGTTCTTCTCAAGGTAAACTGAATTGAAAAAGTAAGTCAATTTAAAGGAAAATGTTAATAAATGAATAAATAAATATTTTAAAAATCAAAACATTAAAAAATAAAATAAGTAAGAGTGGAAGAAGGAAAACCACTTTGGAGACCATTGTAGCAGTCCACGTGAGAGAGATGGAAGTGGTTTAGATGAGATTTAAAACTGGAGAGATAAGGAAAAGAGGAAAGATAGAGCTATAATCTGCAGGTAAGAAAAATAAAATTTACTGACTAATTGGGGGTAAGAATGGAAACATTAACTACAGCCCCTATCCTTTATGTTACTTCCTTAAACCACTAGGTAAATGGTGATGTCATTGACATATTTGGTATAGTTAGAAATTTGGAAGGAAAACTTAAAAGTTCATTTTGGACATGAAGTTGAGATCTTGTCAGAGAACTAAGTGCAAGAGTCAGATAGACAGTTGCATATACAGGTATGGAACTCAGAAAATAGCTCTTGTTGGAAATTACATATTTGGAAGCCTTTAGCATTTAGATGGCATTTGATGCTCTTGTATAGAATGTGTATGGAATGACTAGGGGAGAAGCTCATTTTCAGTGCTGAGAAACTACTGTGTTAAGAGATCTTGTTGAGGAAGAGGAGACTTCCAAGGTGACTTCCATGCTGGAGAGATGTTGAATAATTCTGGAGCAAAGAAAATAGTATCTTGAGAAGGATGTTGTGGTCAGCAGTGTTGAATATTGCTGAGGGGTTAAACAAGATGATGTACTCCCGTGGATAAAAAAATATTTGTTTTATTATGGTGGTGGTTTTGGAAGTATATTATTTTTATAATGTTTAAGCTTTGATAATGAAAACCTAATTAACATCTAATTATTTTTGATCGTGTAATTTTAGCAGAATACCTGTAATGCATTTACTTCATTTAATCCCCAGACTCTTTGTTAATCAGTATTTTTTGCATATCTCCATTTATTGTCATTTTATATATTAAACAGTTAACTCTCTTAAAAAAAAAATTAAAAAAATAAAGGAAAATGTTAGATAAATGATAGTGCAGGAGGTGTGCTGATATGGCCCACCACAAAGGTAACCCTCATATGGTGGAGGTTTGGCAAACACTGAGATGGTACCTGGGGAGCCTGAGGTCCCCTGACCTAGTAAGCTGGTATCCAGGACAGTGGTATCAGGCCTGGGCCCTTAGTGGGAGGAGGCAGCAAAGAGGAGGGGAGGGGCTGGAACAGTAGAGCGGAGAAGCCCAGCTCTTGAGTTACCCAGGAAACAGCGAAGGGCGCCCTCCAACTCCCAGCCCCAGAAGCCATACTCGCTCAGATCATGTTACTACTCCCTGTGCCTCAGGTGTGTGGAGAGGACAGGGTACCTGCCAGTCCTCAGGTACCAGGAGCAAGCCCTCTGATCCCTGCCTCTCCCTGCCCATGACCCCCAGGAGTGACCCACCTTGAGTTCCAGCGGCCCCAAGGCTTTGAGTACAAGTCAGGACAGTGGGTGCGGATCGCCTGCCTGGCTCTGGGGACCAACGAGTACCACCCCTTCACCCTGACTTCTGCGCCCCATGAGGACACGCTTAGCCTGCACATCCGGGCAGCAGGGCCCTGGACCACCCGCCTCAGGGAGATCTACTCACCCCCGACGGGTGACAGCTGTACCAAACATCCAAAGGTGCCCATCACTGGGAACCACTTTTGGGGTTCTGGCATTGATAGAAGGTCCCCACCCTCCCCGACCTTGGGATACGATGCTCCAGCCACCCCAAAGCCAGACTGGGAGAGGGCTGGGGTGCCTCAAAGGAACTAGTTCTCCCTGTCCTCCCCGCCCCCCCCCCCCATTTCTAACCTCAGAGCTGGGGAAGGGCCGGGCTCATCTCATCTTCCTCTTCTGTTGGCAGCTGTACCTCGATGGACCATTTGGAGAGGGCCACCAGGAGTGGCATAAGTTTGAGGTGTCCGTGCTGGTGGGAGGGGGCATTGGGGTCACCCCCTTTGCCTCCATCCTCAAAGACCTGGTCTTCAAGTCATCCTTAGGCAGCCAAATGCTCTGTAAAAAGGTGCGTGTCCCTCTCCCATTCTTCAAAGAAATGGGGACAGACAGCCTGATTGTGTCGCCACATCCCAGCAGATGTAGCATGATAAAAGGTCCCTGGCTCCTAGGCAACTGGTTCTGCTGGGACCATTCATACCCAGTTGCCCAGATGGCAAACATTTGAGGGAGGGTAGAAGGTGTAGCCAAGAAGAGCCTCTGCTGGGATCTGTGGCTAAGAAGCCTTGGATCAGGCCTGTGGGTCCTGCCAGAGGTTTGGTGCCTGTGGGGGGTCCAGGGCTTCCCACCATCTCAGTATAAGCATCTGGGTAGAGGAACCTTGAGCTGAGCTGAGTCAGAGCTCTAGTTGTGTGTCCGCAGACCTACTTCATCTGGGTGACACGGACCCAGCGGCAGTTTGAGTGGCTGGCTGACATCATCCGGGAGGTGGAGGAGAACGACCACCAGGACCTGGTGTCCGTGCACATCTACGTCACCCAGCTGGCTGAGAAGTTCGACCTCAGGACCACCATGCTGGTACGTCAGGGCCGGCCAGGCAGGCCAGGCAGCTCAGTGGGTGTGTGGGTTGAGGGTAAGGATGGCCAAGGCAGGTGGGTGGACCGCCATCTGGACTAGGAGCTGACCCTGGCTCTGCCTGGCTGTGGCCTTCCTCCTCTACTCCCGCCCCCAGTACATCTGTGAGCGGCACTTCCAGAAGGTGCTGAACCGGACCGTGTTCACGGGCTTGCGCTCCATCACCCACTTTGGCCGACCCCCCTTCGAACCCTTCTTCGACTCTCTGCGGGAGGTCCACCCAAAGGTCAGTCCCACCCCGACCCATCCTTCCCCTGCCAGGACTTCCTGGCCCTCAAGCAGCCTGCAGCTGGGTACTGAGCAGAGGACCTCAGGATGGGGTCAGGCATTGGAGAAGGGCTTTAAACCCCACCTCCTGCCTCCCCAACTCAAGCCGCCTTCTCAGGGCCTGGGGTCAATGCCCTGGTCATTCCAGCCAGGCTTGAGAAGCAGCTCCCTCCTGGGGAGGAAGCCCACAGGCCTCTGCTTCTCTGCAACCACTGCCCCCCCACACACTTGACAGGTGAGGAAGATCGGGGTGTTTAGCTGCGGCCCTCCAGGAATGACCAAGAATGTAGAGAAGGCCTGTCAGCTCATCAACAGGAAGGACCAGGCCCACTTTGTGCACCACTATGAGAACTTCTGAGCCCTCCCTCCCTGGTTCCTGATCCCTGCGTGGACCAGCCCTGCCAGCAGTCTCTGTCAGAATTCACCTCAGGCCTCAGCTGGAGAGCTGGAAGAGCCTCTCCCTCATTGCCCCATCTGTCCCAGGCTCTGAGAAGATAGAGGAGACCCTTCTAGCTTAAGCCACAGCAGGCTGTGGCAGACAAAGTGGGGAGGGGACAGTCCCTGCCTTGTGACAACTATGGAGGTGAAGAGATACAACCTCATTTTCCTCTGATAGGTCCCCATGTCTGTTTCCTTCCAGAAAATCAATGTATTGCTTTGGTATTTTCTTGGCCTAGGCATTTGAGGGAGGACAGGGTGGGGATACCTGGTGTGAAGAGAGGGTTCAGAGTGAGAATCTCCTCAGAGCCCAGCTTAGAAGTTGCGATGCTAAACCTGGATGGTCTGCCTGCCTCAATTCGGTCTCCGAGGCCTTTTCCCTCCAGCTCTACCCCCGAACCCGTTCCAGCTCCTAGAGGATCAGGAACCCTGAGGAGCAACCAGCAACGCCCGCTGCCCTCACCTCTTGGCTGGCCCTTCTCTTAGCCTGCCGGAGCAGCCCCTCAGCTCTGGTACCAAGGGAGTCCAGTCTCTCTGCCAGTCATCCAGAGTTCCCACTCAGCTCCCCTCCTCCACAGGACTTGGATGACCAACTGTCCCAGTTTGCCCAGGACTCTCCCAGTCTTGGCACTGAAAGTCTCTTGTCCTAGGAAACCCCTCAGTCCCAGGCAAATCAGGGCAATTGGTCACCTTCCACAGGAGCCAATCTGGGACATCACCTCCATACCCTTTAAGACCCTTCCTTTTCCTTCTTCAACTGGCTCTTTCCTCAAAAGCTAAGCTTTAATTTAAAAAAAAACAAAAGGTATAATTTGCATAAAGTGTACAAATCTTAAAGTTACCACGTACTACATATGTTACTACTACCCAAATCAAGATATAGAACATTTCCATCACCCCAGAAACTTCCCTTGTACCCCTTCCAGTCAGTCTCCCCAAGCCTTAGAAGCAACCACAGATGTGATTTTTTTGTTATCACTCCAGATTCATTTGGTCATACTGAATGTACTCTCTTGAAACTGGCTTGTTTTACTCAGCACAATGTCTCTGTGATTCATCCATGTTGTTGTATATATCAGTAGTTTGTTCCTTTTAATTGATGTGTCATATTCCATTGTAGAGATGTACCACAGTTTATCAAATCTTCTGTTAATAGACATTTAGATTGTTTCTAGTTTTTGATAATTATGAATAAAGCTGCTATGAACTTTCTTAGGACTTATCTTTTGGTGAACATAATGCACTCATTCCTCTTGGGTATGTATCTAGGAGTAAAATTTCTGGGTAATAGCGTCCTCCAGCCAATAGGACCTGTGGCAGGGAGAGTTTCAGGCCATCTCCACATTCTTGCCCCAGGCTTTTGTCCTCATTGGTCATACTCTGCCTCTTCTGACAGGTCAGATGCCTTTAGCTCCCTACCCTCTGTACTGAAGGAATATCTCTGACAGAACTGGAAGGGCACCAGATCAGGAGCTAAGAGACCTGGATACGAGTGCCAACTTTGCCTATATGTAGCTACAGAGGAAAATCCCTCAACTTCTCTGAGCCTGTTTTCTCATGTATTAAAATGTCTGTGTGGGTATTAGGAAGACAGATAGTGATACTGGCCCAGAAAATTATACAGGTGAGAAAATTTATGAGAATATATTATACAATTGCAATGTATTTTGATTATTAATCTACCTATTTCCTAACAGCATCAGGCCTACAGGCCTCCAGCCCTCCTGCCCCTCACTGGGTCTACAACCAGTCACTAATCCCAAACTCTAGCCCCTGAAGTCTCAGCCTTAGCTGTATTCCCAAATCTGGCCCATCAATTCCTTCCTTATTCCTTTCTAAAGACCACTCAAAATATTTATCTGTCTCATCCTAATTCATCTACCCTTGCTAGACCAGATGATATTGTTAACATGGCTGTCATGATTGTCCATAATATTCTCTGCTCAGCCCTATCCTCCCTACCATTCTTGAGCCTGAGTGAGGGTCTCCTGAAGACTCCATGATCACTTTTGCCCAGAGCCCAGACAATGTCAATTGCCTGTCCAGCTGGACAGAAGGATGTGCCATCATGATCTTGAGTAGCCTCAGGTGGCTCTTAGGCTGCCTGGTGTTAGTCCCGACTCCAAACCCCAGCCAAGTTCTAGATATCAGCTATAAGCATGTATTCTGGCTGCATGCTTATAGCTGATATCTGCTATCAGCATGTATTCTGGCTGCTATCCAATCTTGCTCAGTTTCCAGAAACCCACTTGTTGCTGTGATAAAAGTCAATGACTTGCAGAGAGGATAGAAATGTTTTCAGCCTGGTCATTCACCAAAACCTCAGTGGGCCCCACCCTTCCTGGGACTTTGTAGCCAAGTCTTCTTGGGAAGTGGATCGAAAGGCAAGATCAGGCAGCCAGCAGGTGATATGCCTTTGGACTGAGAAAATGAGGTGACTGCACAAATGGGTATAGGGGAGAGGTTAGACTCTGGAAAATATGTAAACATGGGAGGCCACAAAATGTCTCATAAAAAGAGGACTAGGGAAAGGTGACTCAGAAAAACTTCACAGAAACTATTATGTTGACAGTGAGAAAGAAAGCAAAGCTTTTCTGCTCCAGGTCACAGATATAGGTCTCAGGCCCTAGGACAGAGTCCAACCCAAGCCCTGCCTCATACACATAGGAACGTGGATGAGAATGGAACAGGGATGGAAAAGGAATCCGGTGGGATTAGATGGAGATAAGATTGGAGATGGAGAAGATGAGGATGAGACTGGATGGAAGGGCTTCAGGGTCTGGTGGGAAGGGAATGCACAAGGATGGGGAGGTGCTGAGACCGAGCTCTAGAAGAAAGAAGTGAAGGCTAGCTCTTTGTCTTTATTTCGAACTTTCCAGATCCAGCACCATTTGAGGGGGGAGAAAGTTGATAAGATGTGGCAACCTTCCCACCCACTTGCTAAGAATTTTTGAGTAAGAGGAGCCAATCTAGCATAATCATTAAGACTGAGGGCTCTTGACAACACAGCCAGAAATAATAAATAAATATATATATAAAAAAAGAGTGAGGGCTCTTGAGTCAAACTGGGTTTGACCTGAGTCAAACTGGGCCACCAGCTGGGTGACCTTGAGCAAACAAAGGAGCTCTCAGTGCCTCATATTGCTTCTTTATAAAGGAGGGAATAACAAGAGTATCTGCTTCCAGGAGTTTGGGAAGACCCCAATGATACAATTCAATTCAATTCAACAAATGTGTGCTGAGCGTCTATTCGATCCCAGGCGAGGTCCAGCTCCCATGAAACTTACCTGTTAGTGGGAGCAAACAGACAAGAAACAAAAAAAAAAAAAAAAAAAAAAAAAAAAAAAAAAAAAAAAAAAAGGAAGATAATTCCAGATCATGATAACGAACTTTGAAAATAATAAAACAATAATCTGATAGTGAGTCACTAAAGGGGATCCTTTAGATAAGATGATTAAGGGAAGGCCCCTGAAGTGACTCTAAGATATTAACAACTAATGCACACAGAGCTTGCTGTGTGCCCAGTGCTATGGTGAATGCTTCATATGTATTAACTCACTTAATCTTTAGAACAACCTATGCAGTAGATATTACCATTCTTCCCATTTTATAGATAAGGAAGCTGAAGCAAAAAGAAGGCTTAAATAACTTGCCCAATATTGCCCAGAATGTAAGTGAGAGGTCTAGATTTGAGCCCAGAAAGTTTTAATCAGAGACCAAGCCCTTAACTACTGCTTTATCTTGCCTCTCAAAAGCAGGCTGCAAGTGTGCAAGCAAAGATAATGTATGATAGCCTTTAACTGTGCCTGGCACTTCATAATATTATTGTTGTTGTCATCGTTATTATTGTTATTAAGAGAAATTGAGGTTCCAGGAGGCAGAGCTCCATATTCTGAGGAGTTTGGAGTGTTTGGGGCTTGAGTGATGCTAAGTGGCGTGTTCTGACTGTCCTGTGCTGACTGCTCCCTTCCCTTCCCATCTCCCCAGGAAGGGGGAGGAGGAGGCCTGCCTTATCCTCTAGGGACATCAGGCCCCCAGGTCATCTGGAAGTCACTCTATCCTGGCCTTTCCTGGAATGCAACAAGGAGAGCTGACCACCTTCCCACCCAGTCTCCAGGAAGTTGTAAAGGGTCTGGGAACCTCTCCAGCTGACTTCTCAGGAATTATCTTCCTCCCTGGAAGGAGACTTCAGATGAACTGTAACATGAAGGCATTCCCTTTTCTGAGAGTGAGAGGCTGGCAATAAAATTCTAGGAGAAACTGCCCAAAATGCACTTGATGCTGGGTCGGGATCTGGGTTCTGTTTCCAGCCCTACTACTAAAATCATTGTGCGACCCTAGGGAAATCACCTGAGTTCTCTGGGCCTCAATTTCCTCACCAAGAAAATAAAGGGATTAGGCTAAGACCCCATCCAGACTTAAAATTTTACTGTTCCCCTCTGCACTCATTATCCTAAATGAATGGAAGTCCTATATTAGGAAAACAGCTTCTTTGGCCTCCCATCCAAGGTTCAATTGGCTAGGGGAAGGAAACTAACATTTAAAAGTTTGTATGTGTTTTAGATCCTATACCACATTTACATAAATTGCCTCATTTAATCTTCACAATAACTCTTTGGAGAAGGTATTGTTGTTTTCATTTTACAGAGAAGGCACCTGAGGCTCAGAGAGCAAATTGCCCATAAACATCCAAGAAGTAACAAGTAAAATTGGGATTTGAACCCAGGTCCCATGAAATCTCAGAGTCTCTGCTCTTTCCATCCTGGTGCCTCTAATGGTATAGAAAGAGAAGGCAATCAAGAAGCAAACTATAGCGTGGCGACTCTAGTTAATAATACTGTATTGCATATTTGAAAATTGCTAACAGAGTAGATCCTAAAAGTCCTCATCACAAGAAGAAAATTATTTTGTAACTGTATA